AAACTCTATCAATTCACTCAACTAAAATAGCAGCTTAACGTTGCTGTCTTTCGCATGGTGAGTGCAAAGAACCGGAGACCCTTTTTACTGGAAAATAGGCATTCCATCTTAGTCCTCACGGCTGACAACTGGCTATACACCGTGATATGATGAAGCAATTTGATTTCCGCCATTTTGGTGCTTACAGCAGAAGTGCACGTCCGCGGAACTAATAATAGGAATGAGACAGTGTACCAGATTATGTCGATAAAAATTCTATACCCTACCTGTACCTAATTAAATATAATGGACATATTTAATTAGGTATACGATGGATAGATCCATGGATAGATGGACTCTACCCGTAACGTCCATTCTATTTATGTATCATATTAATATAGTACCATTATCATTCATAATCATTAAAACTCCTCACAAGTCCACTGCTAAAACATAGGCCTCCCCCAAGGAATGCCACAAGGCACGGTCCTGAGCCACCTGCATCCATCAACTTCCTGCATTTCTTACCAGGTTTTGACTCCATCTAGTGGGGGAACGTCCTACACTTCACCTGCCGGTACGAGACTACCACTTAAGAACCTTTTTTCCTCATCGATATTAGGTTCTTGGCCGGTATCGGTATTAGGAGCTATATGGCCGGTCAATTGTCCCTCCACCTTCTAATCAATTCGGCGATCTCGGTCACTCTGGTTCTGCTGCAGATATCCTCATTCCTAAGTTTGAACCCCTGAGCATAGCCCTCTCCATAGCTCGTTGAGCAACTTTGAGCTTCCTCATATGGCCAGCAGTAAAATACCTCGTCTCAGATCCATAGGTCATCACTGGCAATACGAACTGGTTGTACAATCTAGTTTTGAGATATTCCCCTAACGAGAAGATGTGTCGTAATCTCCCGAACGCTGCCCAGCCGACTTGAATCCGTCGATTGACCTGTCGGTCGAAGTTGAACTTACCTAGTCGGACTATTTGTCCCAAGTAAAAATACTGTAATAACTAGTAGTTTAATCTTGGGGAGTATACACACCATGTACTTTCCAATCCAGTAGCTTGAAAACACAGCGTCTTCCAATACAGTGGTAAAGTATTTCGAGGATATTACGTCACTCTGTCTTACTCATCTCTACAGTTGGATTAGTTTTGTACTCTGGTTCTGTACTCGGATAGCTATCATAGCCCTTAGACCATTCAACTAAGAATTATTAAGATTAAACTAACCACACAAAATAAAAATAAAAACAAACTTTCTAAAATAATTTATTGTCAACCATTCATTTAGTTCTAGTATTATAAAAAACCAATCAGTTGTCATAACAAACAAGCAGCTGCCTATAGACAGTACGGTTCATAAGATTGCGTTAAAACTTAGTCAACTTATTGGTTACACTTGTGCTACGGTTATAGGTATAAGCATGGTACAATTAACTGACACTAGGTGGCGTGCGTATTATACTGACTATTTATTTGAAAGTTATAATATCATTCTATTTCAATGATTGTATTATCATTCCTAATTATACAATATAACTGTTCCCCATTTTTAACGATATTTCCACAATTATTTCTTCTGCGGCAGCAATGCACAGGGTACGAGCTAGCAACATAATATAAAAAACATAAACTTTGAATTACATAGTTATCAGTTATTTACGTCATTTTTTAAATTAAAATTACAATATTAAAAAAAATAATAAAACAACTGCAATTATCATACAGTCCTGCTTTCCAGGGGTATCGTCCCAAGAATGCTGGCTAAATGTCCTCTTTGAATGGCTATACTTAGCCTTTAAGCGAGGAAACAACAAACTAAACAACTTCTTATTACCAGCAGCGATGATCAGTCGCAGACGCAGTTTTTTAGGAACTACACCACCGTGCACCTTACGGACCAATAGTCTCTACAGCAAATTGCACAAATATGTACTCATCTTCTAGATACTCTGGGCTAGTTTTAGTTCAGTTGCCTCTAATGCCACCCCTGCTTTAGACGGGGTACACCTGAGATGGGATGCTGTCAAAGTGTTCGCAAGTAGTATCCCACACTAAAGCTTTATCTCTCTCTCTCAAGCAACCATACCCATACCGTCGGGTCTCCTGGTATCGTCTCTAAATATTCTACAAAGATCTTAAGCCGAGGAAACATTTATAGAGATACGAGCTCTTCAAATGACATCGTCCAGGAACTGTGACGGGATAACATTATATTAAAGAATACCATACTTACCAACGTCGTTTTGCGTTTTGTAACACAAACATAGAGAAGCCAATACTGGCTATTGTTACTCCAGAGTTGGTGAATAAATAAACAAGTAAACCAACTTAAACCGAAATACAACTATTGTAAAGCGCAATCCAAGATTTTAGGTTCACATAATTTGCCGCAAGTGGAAATATAGAAAATGTGCCAAAAAAGAAGGGAACATAGCCTAAAAATACAAGAAATTATAAACGCACAACTGTAAAATATACTACTTTTTCAACAGAGCATTTAAAAACAAGGGTTAAAATGTAGCGTTCACCATAAAAATAACTGTACTACAAAATTAAAAATAAAATAAATAAAACGCGATAAAACCCGTAAATGTAGTTTTAATCACTCTGAGGTAACCAGTTAGTTCTATGAATTTTGGCAGTATAGCTATTAACTCTCAAATAGACGGTTATTCCTGGATTAAGATTTGATAAAATCAAAAATTGAGTAAATAAGTGATTTTATCACTATATATAGCAGGATAAGACTTATGCAAGTTTGGTCGAATCCGCTCTTAACCGTGTAGTGTTAGTACTCAGATGTTCCTTACTTTACTAGAATAACAAACGAGGAACACAATTTCCAGAGCATAAAAAAGATTTACTTCAGGTACCAAACTTAATACTACTATACGAATTCTTAAGCAGAAAAGGAAGTAAACTACTTTAATATTTTCTTATGCAAAAGTTGTTACTCCGTGTAATGGCGGTGTAAGAATTTCCACTGGCCCATATCATCCCGTGAGTGTCGTAAGAGGCGACAGAAGAAAACTGGAACAGGAGATGGGCAGCAACGTCTTCCTAATAACGAGTAAAAATACAAAACTGTGGTTGCCAATCCGCTTACCAAGCATGGCAACTGGCAACTAAAACAAAATTCCCCATGAGGCAATCTACGAAGGAGGCCTATTTTCAGCAGTTGACTTTTATAGGCTGTAATGGAACGTAATATTATTATTAGGGTATCTATATAATTTTCTCACCTGTTTGGGTTCTATAAATATATAATTATAAATTAAAATGAAAAGATAAATATACATAAATATCAATAAAATAAAATAAATACAAAAACTACGTAAATAAATAAGATCCAACAAGATGGGAGCCCTCGGCAGGGGAGACCAAACGGCCGAGGGTTAGGGTGAAAGGGAAAGAAACCGGTTGATGATGCGGGCGGTATTGAGGAGCACCGCCTTCTGCATTTGAGCCCGAAGCGGTCCGTCACGGAGTCCCAATCGCCTCAGATGACCCGAGAGGCTGACTGAGATTACCCCATTCGCAGAGACGACTACAGGAATAATTTCGGTCGGCATACCACCCCACAAGTCGGTCACCTCGTGAGCCAGGTCCAGATATTTTGTTCGTTTATCTGTTTCGGCTTTCACGAGGTTCTCGTCATACGGAATGGTAATGTCAATCAAAAATATCCTTGACTGTGCCCGGTCCATCAGCACAATATCAGGTTTATTCGCAAGAATAGTCCTGTCTGTGATGATGGCCCGGTCCCAGTAGAGCCTGGCGCGGTCATTTTCTAGCACGGCTTCCGGCAAGTACTTGTAATACGACAATTTTCGGTCCACGAGACCGTATTTCAGAGCGAGCTCCTGGTGTAGAATTTTGGCTACTAGGTTGTGCCTGTGCAAGTACTCAGAGTTAGAAAGCGCCGAACAACCGGAGATGACATGCCTAAGTGACTCCCCTGGATGACGACAAGCTAGACAGACGTCGACAGTGCCATCCTTTAGGATGTATTTCCGATAGTTGTTGGTCTTAATAACCTGATCCTGTATTGCACAGACAAAACCCTCGGTTTCCCCGAAGAGGTCACCGAAACGTAGCCAGTTGAGGGAGGCGGCTGTATCTACGTGAGGCTCATGTAGAGCCCTGTAGTACCTCCCGTGGAGCTCATTCTTCTTCCATACGGTCTCCCGTTCGGAAATGCTCTGTACTGCCGGGTCTTGCCATTGCTCGTTGGCTAAGGATAGAGGGGTAAGTCCTTTATCACTAGAAATGACGTCATTATAGAATGGATCATCCGATCTTATCAGGAAGTAATGACGGAGACTGTACACTTTACGATTATGCCTGGTGAGCGAGCTCAGGAAGCCACGCCCACCATGCTTTCGCGGCAAGTACAGCCTCATTACCGACGATCTCGGATGATGCATCCTATGGGACATCATTGTAGTGCGGACTTTTCTATCCAGGGCGTTAAGTTCAGTCTGACTCCACCTGAGTATGCCAAAGGTATACATGAGGACAGGCATGACCCTACCGTTATATGCATGTGTCTTATTCACACCGGACAAAAGGCTGTTAAGCACTTTGGTCAAGCGTGTATAAAACACGTCGCAAACTGACTGTTTCATACCAGCCTCATCGATACCGATGTTCTGTGACATACCCAGGTATCAGTATGTTTCAGCCTCGGAAAGGGCCCTTAAGTTGACGGGCTTCTGGTTGAGAGCCTCTTGAAACTGTCGGGCGAGCACAGCGTGAACACACCATGAACCCCTTCAGCCAGTAGTGATGCAGCCCGTCAAGCCCCGGACTTTTCCAGTTCGGGGCCCTACGGACCGCCTCAGCTACGTCATCCGGCGTTATGATGACGGGGTCCATGGGCGTAATACCCGCACACTGACTCGCCACAACTTCCGTCCAAGGGCCCTCGTTGTGGTTTACGGGCTCTGACCACAGGTCTGCGCCAGAATGCGACCGTTCGGCCTCATTTGGTGCTGGGCCCGTTCTATTTACTATTGGTCGCTCCAATGATTTATAGAGCCTCTTCTGATCACTCTGGAAGAGAAACGATTCTGGTTGAACCGTGTCGACCTCTCGGTATATCGCTGAATCCGCTTTCCCCAAGCAGCGATTCTTTGCTTCAGGTCGTCTTTGCGCTCCGTCAGTTTTTGCATTATATCCGGCTGGAACAAACTAACATTATTTGTCCCAGTAAACGCCATCCTGACGGTGCGCACAATCTTTGGCCTGGTATTGCCTGACTTGAAGCATATCAGTCTGCCGATGAGGGCCCTAGCCTTTGCGATACGTTCTTCAATTCTTATTCTCCAGGCTGGGATAGCACTACTTTGTCCAGTAGCGCGTCCAGCCGTGGAAAGTTTGGCGCCTATAATACGGCAGACTGCCAGAGCAGCGCCAAAAAGAATTGAGTCCGTCTCGCAAAGGTCCCGGCTGGCTTCCAGATAGGTAACCAGCATTGGGTTCAGAGCCCTCACGACAGCCCGATTCGCTTGCTTAGGGCTAAGCGGGGAAGTCACGGTCGATTTTCGAGAGGCGTACTGCGTGTTTCCACAATCGCCTCTTCCAATATACTCCTCATTTGCTCTAGTTCCAGTTCCTGGGCGACTGTTCCATCATCGTCTGAATCAACCACAACTGACGTGTTCACGGCGGTATCCACATTTGCCGTTTGCTCAGCAAGTTGTGGCGCCGCATCCTCAGCCGCAGCATTTTCACCCGATGAAGGAACAGCCTCATGTCGTAGCCGTTCGAGTTCGGTAACATCAAATGTATTTGAGCACAAGATATACCGAAATCGGTCTGCCAGATTTTGCTCGGTGACGGTTACAGATGGCTCCAGCTCAGCAAAAAGTCGATGCATCCTTGCCCGATACGCAAAACCTCCAGTTTCTCCCCCTTTCGCCCTAAAATACGCCCGCAATGCGTTGCTGTTCATCTGGGTTGTCCAACGCATGCGGCGTACTCCACCAGAGGCGGGTGCCGATAGCTGGGCCCGCGAAGATCCTGCCGACACCAAGCCAGCTGGTGGGGATGATGGAAGCAAGGGGCTGCTGGGTGGTCGTGCAGCATCTCGGGCTCGGCTGGCGGTTCGCATTCTGTCGCGTCCAGCGCCAGCTCCAGACGCGCCCTGGCGACCTCCAGGCAGCGGCCCTTAGCCTTATTATTATTATTATTATTATATCACTGACGAGCCCAAATAATTTGACGAGACAAAAAATTACGTACTTTATCGCCTGTAATACACAGGGAATAAGTTTTTGTAGCTGCATACGGACGGATTTCTATATATTTGATGTTAATATCTTTTATTAAAATGTGAAAGTGGCTAGCAAAATTATTTGAAAACAAAGTGTCCTTAAAATGGTATTGTAGATCAGGAAACAATATTTCCTTTTTAACTATAAGATCTTTTAGTACCTTTGCAGCTAATACCGCAGAAAAATTCTGTTCTATCGGAGGTTTACCATTATTATTTTTAACAGCATGGAGGAATATTGACTCAAACAATAAACAAATATTTACCACACTGGTAGAAGGCATAGTTAAATCACCCCTCGTTTTTTTGTACAACGAGAGCAATACCATTTCTGCGATCAAATTTCACATCAATTTTTTTTTCGTATCGCTCGAATGACAAATCCTGCAATATATCCTACGCACTGTTTAGACGTTTCGTTTATGTTTGAGTCAGGTACTGCCTAAAACAGGTGTAAAAATTCACTTATTTTTCATCATGCAGGTTTGGCGAATCTATTTCTTCTAAACGATATTTTTTGACACTTAGCACGGCTAACATTTTTACCAGTATTTAATATAATTCTTTTAAACAATTTTGACTTGAATTCGTCATACAGATTTAATAGATTTGCACAGTCACCGTTAATTAATTTTCTTCTCTTTAATTCAATAATTACATTACTTAAACAAGTAATGCTGACCTTTTTTGACTGCCTTGTTGATCTAGTGGTTGTAGTGGTGCGACTACTGATGAGGTCCTGTTTTCGAATCCTGGGTCCGGCCAAAAATCAATTATTGAGTTTTTCCGTCAAGAAATACTCAATAGCTGCCCGGAGTCAGGATATTAGCGGTATATCACCCCCGTGCTTCGGAAAGCACGTAAAGCCGTTGGTCCTGCGCCTGATCTCTCTCCTGTCGTGTCGGTTTACCGTCCCATTGGAATATGAGAGTGATGGAATAGAAAGTGCACTTGTGCTTGCGCATACAGTTGGGCACTATAATCCTGTCCTGCGCCGATGGCTAGTCTCCGTTGAGGCTGGCCGCCGTGACCGAAATTCGGTCTGGAAGACATTATAATGCTGATTTTTAATCGTTTCACATGTTGCAATAGGACAAGCTCGTGTGTTTTTCAAAGATTTCCGAACTCGTTCCAATGCCTTTTTGGATGATTTAGGGAAGTATTCATAACGATGATCATGCTTGATACTATCACAGACTTCAGAAATAGACAGAACCCTCTTTGAAGTGACAGCCTGTTCCCGGTAGCAACTTATATACCTTTATATTGATAAATAACACGAAAAAAAGAACAATTAAGAAAACTACACATGGCATTTACCACGGTTTGCTTGCAATAAAAAAGAAAAGAAAAATCGAGATACCAACATAAAAAAGAAGAACTTCTTCCCAGGCTCTCAATCTCGGGCAACTCCATGTATTCTGGAGTCTGCAACGTACCGCCTTCCATAGTTTCGAGATCGAAATACGGATCACATTTATCGGTGCATATTGCACTAGCTCCTAAGGTTTCCAGCTTTGGAAGTGCCACGTATTCTGGGGGGCTTGACGTATCGCAATCCATGGGTTCTTGATCGAACACTTGATTACCTTTGTCGGTGGATGTTGCGCAAAAGGAAGCTGCCAAAAACCGTGAATTTAAATGATGGCCACGAATTTGTAAATAAGAAAGAAACTAAAGTAGGGCCACTACGAAGTTAAGGCACGAATTAAATTTTGAGACTCGAGAGAGAATTAAATCACTACACTCGCACTTACTAAAATCCCATAGTGTTCTACCTCTGCCGCAAATTGGCAGGACCGCGGAAACGCTCTCATGCACATCCGCGGCCCCTCCGATGCCAGCCGCCGAATGGTAGCCCCTCCTTAGTTGCTGACTTCTCCTCCCCGTTTTCATTCTCAGATAAGGCGTATCAAACACAAACCACATTGCCCTTCGTGGCCTCTAACTCCACCCGCACTACGGATTCCCCGAGCCCGATATGTGAATGGACCCAGGGAAAAATGAGCACTTGGAAGCATAAAGTGGTGCAGCCTCACCAAAGTAGCGAAAGAGAGTCGAGTGGCGCATCGCCAATCGCTATAGCAACACTCCTCTTCCCTTACGACTCCACCTCGACTACAGCGGTACAGGGAGAGGAATCTCCTCTAGCCGCAGCCCACTAACACACATCCAACGTAGCTCGATAGCTCATAGACTCGTAGCTCATCAGGCGACTTTTCGACACTTGGCCCTTGATTTTGGTGGAAAATGAGGAAAGAAGAAATAAAAAAAGATTCGAAATAATAATCTAATACTTTTATCCTTAGTGGTACTGGTACTACCAGAAAATATTGTTGGTATACTGCACATTTTCAAAGTGGTGCAGTTCTTATGTCTAATAAAATATTTGGTACAAATATGATATTTCGGACGCCAATTCACAATATTTATGCTTTTAAGCCATAATTTTAATCTAGCTTCGGTTGGAAACCTGTTAATTAATAAACATTTGATAATAATCTGTTGTTGGCGACTTTGTTTGTTAACAGATATGAGTAGAAAAGAACATCGATAAGTATTATAGACACGGAACTCGACAACCCTATTGAATTTTATTGTTTATCAAAACTCAGTAATATACAGCCAAACATGTTGGTATATATGATATTAAGATTAGTAACAAATTTTCGAGTACTTATATTATCAAATAGTTTTAATTTGTTTAATTTTTGCTGCAAATTCACTTACTTGCGAAATGTTATACCACTTTCCCTTTGGTAACGAGTTTTACAGATTACGCACACTCTCATTATTAATAAAAATAATTCTTATTATGTAACTAATATTATACACAATCAAACAACAAAATACTTTCATTTTTTAGTTTATAAGTTCAAAATAGAGACTTATTAAACAAGAAAATATAAATAAGACAACAGACTTTGGCTCATTATGTCAATTTTATTTTTCAAGACATCCTTTAGCGGCGCTTCAAATTGGCACAGTCATTTTGTATGGTATAGCCAGTCCAGCGTACTTGTATATATAGACGTCAGTGGTTGAAACATGTGCAGCGCTTAAAACAGATATTAAATACACAGTAGAAAAAGAAAGTGTTATTTGAAAGAATCATGTCAAATTTTGACCTAAAAAATTTCTAAAGCGTTTAGTGATGTAAAATATCTTATAAAATTGCCTTTATTTTGCTTAGTTCGTATTACATAATTAAATTTTCCAATAAAGCCTGGAAAAAAGCAATATTACTATGTTTATAGACTTTTGACGGAACGCGTTTTATAATGACTTAAAATCCCTAAAGCCGTGCCGATACATATTTAAAAAAACACATGTTTTACACATTTCGTTTCACAGATCAAAGATGGTTTATGAATTTTCAAAATAACTAATTGTTTTTTGTTACTTATCTTATTATGTTATGATTAGATATGATTTTTGTGGTTTTATACTATGGTGTGGAAAGATATTTTTTTCCACACCATAGTGTACGTAGACAGAAAAACCTATAAACTAATGATTAGCGTGGCCTCGACTGAGAAAGGACGATAACGTAGTTTTAGGTTATACAATAATCTTTATGACTTTTAAACATATTTAGATACAAATTTTATTGTTCTAAAAACTGAACTAAACAAGATTCACCAATCTTAAGCTCACAGAACACTTTTTTACTCACTTATACCAACTTGTAAACCCCTGAGATCGCTACGAACTGTCAAAGTTGTTTAGCAAAGTGTAGTTTGCTAAAAAAACCGCCACGGAGAAAGGGACAAACAATCACACCGCTCTGTCTCATTTCTATGCAAGACGTATGCATAAATCTATCTTTTTCGTGTGCGAATGCGAAAGAAGGCGTCAATTTGTCTATAGATTTCTCTGTCTACAATAGTAATATATGTGTACAGTTATTGACAGGTTAACCTGAAAAACTTATTTACTTAATAGCATTTTTTCCTGGCCTCTAAATAAAAAGGTGATAAGCTATTATGTTATTATAAACAATAATCGATTTTATGCAACAGTAGTTGTAGGTAGACGCGCCCTGTAAAACGAATCAAGTGACAGGTCAATCAATGTATGGAAAGTGGGCATACTTCTTTGTTATCTATGGGAGTGAAAATTATCTATGCAATGGCAATAAAATATTCAGAAAAAAATGTGAAAATAACAGTTCGTCATTTTTGTTTGTGGACTGTTACAGTAAGTGGAACTTGATCAAAAAGATGATACGTTTTCTGTTTTTATACGTTATTTCTAATGTAATTGTACATCAAATTAATTGTGAAGATATTTTCTTTAACAAATATGTATAATTACGACAGTTCCAAAACGTTTACATATAATAATTTAGCTCGAAATTTTAATCACTAAATGCCTTCATCGCTTTTTGTCGTAGTTCCTCGCATGGCTAGCTGTAATAGATTTTTTTTTTAAATATTAGTAGTTAACATAAGGATACTGCTGATAATCTTCTGAATTTTTTCTCCTTTTGTCACCTCTTACAGCGCGACGCTCACGGGATATGTGGTAGTTGATATTCAGATGCTGCACTACACTATTATGGTAAATAATAATAAATAAAAATAATTTATTGATAAATATAA